CATTATTTAAGGGTCTGAAAAACGACCCCAGTTGAGTGTTAAAGGGCTGAGAGCAATGACGGAAAGCCAGTGAGGACGTGGCTTTTGGCTTCCGCTGAGCTGAGCGCTGCTGGAGGAGCCGGTGGGAAAAAGTGCGGATGTTTGAAGGTACGGGTAAGGTGAGATCAGACTGACAGCAATTACAGATCCCCAACATATTAACATGCAAGCGTCACAAACCACATACCATTTTAATTATTCCAGTAGGTACACACACCCTGAGAAATTCTGTCAGTGGGGGAGACATGATCTTCCTCCTAAACAAATGTCAACTTCATCAGTTCTCTTGATATTTTATGGAGACTAATTTAGCCTCGCACTGTCTTGTTTGAGTTTGTCGAAAATACACCAATGCGAATTGCTTCGGTTGTTTTTGAAATGTTTCTGATGGAATATGGAATTTAAGTACTTGTCAAGATAGATTTTTTCAGTTTTAAATCATTTTCTCTCTCCCATCTCGTATACACACTTGGACACACAGAAAAACATTACTTGCAGTCCAAACACAAACGCACACAAAATACTAACTGCTGCAGAGATTTGAGATTAGATGCCCTCTGCACAGTTTTTAAACAGAGGATGCACAGAACAACTGTTGTTTTGTCTTGTGTTACATAACTAAACGTCTCAGACAGAGAGAACAAAGAACTACCCTGTCTCGTGTTAAATGTATTCATACAGTATACTTCTAATTTGGTTTGCCGAGGAATTATAATTACAGTCAGGATTGAATGCCATTGCTTGCTATTTCCATCCAGGAGTTGTGACATCATTATTCTGAACAACGACTGAGTCCCAGTGGACTTACATCATAACCGTATGTAGGTCCTGGTTTAAAGCTTCCCCCTGTTTAAGTTAACTTGGAACCGTTGCCATGTGTCGTAACTTTTACCTGCAGATGAGGCAATGCAGAGTACGACATCTTCTATTCAAATAATAGCTCTATGTCAAGTCCCTATTTCATTATGGTTGTATTTGAGTTCTCTTGTCTAGCAAAGGTTTGCTCATATCAGAAGGAGTTCAAGGCTTAGATAGACATTGGTTGCTTTGGTTGCTTTTGCAGATGCTTTTTTCAACCACTGGTGGTAGTAGTACTCCGATGTTATATTTAATTAAAAGTAAACATACTAAATTGTAGAAATACTCTGTTAAAATTAAAAGCCCTGCAATCAAAAATCAAACTTAAGAAAAAAAGTACTGAAGTATTGGCATTGCAGTATACTTTAAGTCCTAAAAGTATAAGTACTTGTACTGCATAATGGCTCATTTCAGAATCTTTAATTATTGGATTACGATTATTGATGGATTAATGTGTTCATCACAACTGGAAAATGTAAAGCTAATTTGAATTGCTGCATACTGCCAGTCTGCCTCAAGTAATTTTATAGTTTTATGTTATAGTTGAGTTGATAATTGATTTATATTTTGTATTAGCTAATGCTCCAAATCGAAAAAGTAACTAAAGGTGTCAGATAAATGTAGTGGGCTAAAAAGTACGATATCGGCTGACAAAATCTAGTGGAGCAGAAATGTAAAGTACCCCATAATTGTATCGTAGTACAATACTGAATGTGAATGTACTTTGCTGTTTTCAGATGCTGTGCAACTGGAAAACTGGTTAAGAAGTTGCAGAGAACTTACCTCAGGATATGTTGTGAAATCTGGATGAAACGGTTGATTCATCTGTCTGTATTTGTAGCTAATTCCAGTTAAAGTTAAAAGGGACATATGTTGCCAAACATTTTGTAATCTTTTAACACTAAAGCGTATTAACATTCTAGTACCCACCCAAAAAACAAGTATATACTTAACAAAAATGTATAATATGTTAAATATAACAGTAAAAATGAGTTGCCAGAAGAAGATATTAGGGGGAAATGTAATATATTAAAGGTAGGGTAGGTAAGTTTGAGAAACCAGCTCGAGTGCGCTAGAATTAGAAAATACACAACCGGAGAAAATCTGCCACTTCCTTACAGAGCCCCTCCTCCAACACACACGAACGCGCACATGACCAATGAGGGCACGAGATAAGTGTGTGCCCCGATGGAAGGCTGACAGGCAGGTAGGCCATCCAGTTATTTTAGCCGGACCGGCTAAAATGATTGTGCTTTTTACAGCGCTAAGGCTTCCACAGATGACATTTTTGTATGGATTTTTTGTCAAAGCACTTAAGATATTCATTGCTAACGGGATGTTAAGAGCATTCCATGGAATATAACAAAAAGTGTATCTCGAGCCGGTTTCTCAAACTTACCTACCCTACCTTTAACAGTCAAAATGAATCAATGAAATGTTATCTCATTATATTGATTAAAAACATAATTACATTACTTATCTTTTTGTACATACACTTTATGTTTAATAGACAGTGTTGGGGGGACTTGAGGTAGAGAGAAAGCCAGAATAGAGGGAGCATAAGGTAAGGCAGATAGAGACGTGAGGAGCCAGACAAATGTAGAACACTGTACTGCTGCGTGGCCGTGCATACGCCTGCAGCCCGGTGGGCAAAAACAGAACAAAACAGAAGAGTTTAATCTCCACACCTTTATTCTCGTCTCTTTTCCCAATTTCTTCCCCTCTGGCTCTTTCCATTTTCCTTCCCCTCATCTCTCTCCTGCAGGGTCAAGGTTCAGCGTGGAGATAAGGGAATTGAAACAGGATCCTCTCTGCCTCTCTGTCAGACTATCTGACTATACACTGCAGTGATCAGTCCCCTCTATCTGTCCCCAGCACCGGTCTGTGTGATGAGCTCGAGCAGGAGTCATCTCTCTGGGCGCCAGTGTGTGTGTGTGTGTGTGTGTGTGTGTGTGTGTGTGTGTGTGTGTGTGTGTGTGTGTGTATATAAACATGTTCTGCGTCTGAATCGGTGGAACTTCTGTTTCCCGGCTGCAATGCTATCTGAGATTCCCAATGGATTCACGCTGCGACCTTGTTACTTCTCTGTACTCCAGCTCCAGAGTTAAAAAACGTCTGTTCTGACTTTGCAAACATGCTCCCGTCCAAATGAATGGACACGAACACCGGCTCAGAACCCGGCGGCCCGAGCATGTGTCACCTGGAGCAGATATTTGGCTAATGAATGCCACCGTCCATCACCGAACTGTTTACAGTGGGGTAATGAATGCTACTGTCGTTCAGAGTCAAAGGACATCCTTGCGGTGAAGACTTTCCTAATGTCATCTCGGCATGTCAACCAATTATCATGCTTTTTAGTACAGACCCAGCGGCTGCTCCCATGGCAACAGCAGATAACAACATATTTCTAAATGAAGGAGAGTGTGAAAAAGCGAACTGACTGTTCCAGCTGGCATGCACTTAGGATCTCTGCCATGAAACTTTCCCGAGAAGTGGATGGCCGCCCGCTAACGCTGACGCAGCATCGGCTTACGCTCATGATTAGTGTGTAGCAGTGGAACCGCAACTAATGCTCCGTCAACGCCGTGCTTTTGCTGTTGCCTGCCAAGCATTGCCAGTTTAAAAGGAAAACAGGATGATCAAACAAATCTTCACATACACAGCATATTCATCTGCTATGGATGAGAGTTATAAGAAAAGATATGCACCGACAGACAGGTTGATCCATAGCCGGAGGAAGATCGATGGGAAATGTTAGATGCCGTGATGCACAGATATTAGAGCAAATGAGAAGATGAGCTGAAGAGATTCTGCCTGTAAGCAAAGAATTATGGGGAGTGAAGAGCGCTAAGTAGAGAGAAAGCATACGAGCAGGAGAAGTGGTTCGAGGGGGGGGGGGGGGGGGGGGGGGGGGGGGGGAACAGCGACAGAGAGAGCTGAAGGATGCGAGACAGGAAACAGACAGAATACACAAGCAGGAGTGATCAACTGGAATTGAGAGGCAGCAAAAAGATTTTAAGATCAGTAGAACAAAAAGACATGGGATGATAGAGAAAGGAGAAGCGTGTTAGTCTTCAATGAACATTTCACAGTCAAACACAAATCAGCGGGAAAAAAAGGTGTTAAAATTACGACTGCACCAGCTTTAGGCCTGAAATCTCATTTAGCCTTTTCCAGTCATTACTAATTTTCTTTTACCCTATTGTTAATACTCTTCTTTTTCTTCTCCTTACTATGAGAATCCCTCCCGCTGTACCCTGCCTGCGGCATACAGCGATCCCGACTACAAACTAAAGAGAACAAACGCCGGATCTGGGTGACTTCAAGTTGGAAATGATCTTTCTTTCCAAACAACTAGCTGTTGGACGTCCTCCATTACGTCTGTGTTCTGAATGGGGGAGGCTGAATTATTCATGCTATTGCTAATGGCTTGAATTGAGATGTTTGGAGTAAATTCAAGTTTGTCTTCCTGGGGAGGGCCCGGGGCATGGCGGGAAGAAAATAAAAAGGAAAGTGAACGCATTCTTTTGCAACATGGATGCAAGAAGCACAATAGCCAAATGCCTGAATTCATGTGCATTCATGTGCACCAATACACAAGGGAACTTTAATGAAATGCTACCCTTTTAAATATTTTCCATCATGTCTGTAATGATTTCTCTCCAAATGATAAACTGGAAGCAACATACCATATTGACTAAGCACAAATCCGTTTTTAAAGAGGCCCTATTATGCTTTTTGGTGTTTTTAATTTCCTGTAGTGTGTTGGATAGTTTTTTGTGCAGGTGAATGGTCTGCAAAGGCTAACATCCCAACAGTTCCTCCAGAGGGAGTTTCTCTCCAATCACATCTCTAAGCAGTTGCCCAATCACAACAGAGCCGGCGAGCTAACCAATCATGGGCTCTGGTTTCAGACAGAGGGTGACAAGAGGTGCTGCAGGACAGGCAGTATGAGGACAATAAAGAGCTTTTTGAACATTAAAGCATGTCAACATTTCACAGTAGAGGCACAAAATACAATTATGAACCTGAACATGAGCATAATAGAACCCTCCATTTTCAGTTCTCATTTGGTCTGTGTGGTGGTGTTGATGGTTACTTACAGAGTAGGGCGAGCAGGAGTGTTGCGAGCAGCACGAGAAGGCTGGCGCGGTGGGAGTGGGCGGAGCTGCAGTGCATCTTGTTCTTCTTGCAGACGCACACTTGAACTTTGACCTCTGTGTAGTTGGACAATGGGGGCACCCCCGAGTCAGTGATGAGCAACGGGAGCTGGTAGTTGGCTTTCTTCAGACTGTGCAAGAGCATGATGTGGGAGTGTGTGGCTGTGGAGGAAACAGAGAAGAAGAGGGAGGTTAAATAAAGCGGGTGCATGATAATCCGCCATCCTGTCTATTGTCCGTCTATTCTGTATTTAAGAGCATCCCATTTTGCAAAGCAGAACTAAATATGTACAAAACTTATGCGCCTCAAGTAACTGACTGCTAAGCCTCTTCTGACAACTGCAGCGACAAAAATTGGCACTACTTAAGTTGCGTAAGATTGTTACATTGGGTTGCATCAGACTTTACTCTTCCTTAAGAGTCACAAAAGAAAACTCTGGAGCCTTTTTTTACTCTGAAATGTGTCACAATTTGCAAAAATGCGCATTTCACCCATCTGGCATGGCTGTTAACTCCAGGTCAGGTGACTCTTGTATTTAATTAGAACATTTACATTGTCAGACTGTGTGCTCGAAAGGCAGCAGTAAACATTTCACAAGTCTCTCGCTCTGTGTATTTTGATACTCTCGTGTGAGATGCAGAATTTCCTGAAGTTTCTACAATCCCTGATAAGCATGTACAATCAGATCTCTTAGTACTGCTATATTAATCCGTAGATAGTTTAATCACATCTACAGTAGTGTACTTATGTTGTGTGATCATGGAATTGTGCTCATTTGTTTATCTCACGTTTCTGCAGCCACATGCAATATCAAATCCAAGGTGATAACAAAAACAGTAGGGTGACACATTATTGGAAGTGTCTTTGAAATTCGTTGATATACAGTATTATCTCCAAGGGAGCTCCCATGTTTTATCAAACATTAAAATATAAATGTGACGTGTTAATTAGGGATCTTCAGAGATGTTGTTACCTGGTTGCTGTCAGTAACTTAATTTGTACAGACAGAGAGCGGCATCAACCTTCTCATCTAACTCGAGGCAAGAAAGTAAATAAGAGCATCTCTCAAGATGTCAAACTATTCCTTCCATCATTCACCCATATGTATTTTTAAACCGTCTACATTTATCATTTCAAAGGACTGATTTGAAAAGGAATATGGACAAAGTGTTCAGGTGTTTTAGTTAAGTGAAAGCAACAATACCACAGTGAATAAATCAAAAGTAAAAGTCCTGAATTCAACATTTTACTTGAGGAAAGTATAAGAGTATAAGCATCATTAAATACTCATTTGTAATAGATACCAAACATTGAGATGGTATTTGTATATACTGGCCAATTTCAGAATATTATATATAATCTGATTGTATTATAATTACGATGAATTGATGTTTCAATTGCTTAAATTCTGCAGCTGGTAAAGACAGAGCTTGTGTTTACTGTTGGGCATTTTTTTTATTTCACCAAAGGAATGTTAGCCGATAATAATACATAATAAAGTCTTTGTTGATTATATTTTATTTGGCAAAATGTGTCTCTAAATTATGGTGGAGTAGAAGTATATATTAGCATACAAAGGACCTCATAATTGTACTTGTAAGGGTGAACCCCTGATGAGGGGTGAACCCCTACCAGCTCTCCTACCTGTGGTTTCACACACACACACACACACACACACACACACACACACACACACACACACACACACACACACACACACACACACACACACACACACACACACACACACACACACACCACAGTGCCAGTCCATTTCAGACGAGCGGGCTCTATCTGTCTCTCCAGCGGGGGTGATTGAGGAGTGTCTGTACCTCCCTCTCCTGCTGTCAGTCACAGCTAATACCTCTGGGCAGGTTTCAGCTCTGCTCTGTCACTCAAACACACACACTGCGCTGCCAGTCATGCAACCCTGAATCAATGTCTTTCTTGTTCGTCTATCCTCCTCCTCATCATCCTTCCATCCTGTTATTATTTTTCTCTTCATCTTTGTCATGTTATCTGTTCTAGTTCAGACGGCACTAGTTGTTAAGTAAGTACACAGATGTTATACTTGAGTCAAAGTACTTACTTACAAATAGGAACAGCACAACAGTATTACAATCACAATGTACTTAGATTATGAATGTGAAAGACCTTTTCTTTCCTGTAAAGAAGCTTTTAATTATGACTTATATTATTGAAATATTATTATTGATGCTTTTCATGTAGGAGACATTTTAAAGTGACAGCTGGTAGAGGTACCTCACATTTTAACTACTTTGTGTCATGTTGGATAGTTTCATCTGAAATAATTGATCACTTTTTTTTCATAAATCTGAACTTGCTAAGTAAGTACAATACTTCCTTTGAAATGCAGTGGAGTAGAAGTGGAAAGTAGCATGGCATTTAAATGTTCAAATTAAAACAATTACAACATTGTACTGTGGTACAGTACTTGAGAAAATCTATTGGGCGTAACTTGTCTGTACTCAAAATTGACTTATATTATAAGTCAATATTGTACTGAGGTGAACAGACCCTCGAATGCTGTTGCAAGTTACTTTTGTTACTCTCTTTTTCCTTATTTTTCTTTGTTTATTTTATCTTTCCATCACCCGCCTCCCCCGAGTGCTTTCTGGCAGCCCTGTGTAGAATACGCTCAAAGCTCTTAGTGAGAAGTAAAATAATGACCGTGTAATAGCAGGTAAAGAAAAAGTAGCACACAGAGCCCTGTTTGTTATTTTCCAAGAGGTGAAACCTTTCCCGTTATTTAACTCTATTATAATGTCAAAAAGTTCTGAGCAAACAAAATCTCAAAATAAAGTACTCACAGTTGACCCTGGTGACCTTCCATGTTTTGTCGAGGCCCGGCTGTTTTCCCAGCTCTATCTTAAAGGGTGCGGCGTTGGGGTAAAGGTCCTTGTCCCGCCCCCCGACTATAGCCACGTTCATGTCATCCTCGCACACCCGCGCAACCGACGGGACCACATAGGGGGCGTTGTCATTGTAGTCTTCCAGGTAGATGACCAAAGAGCCGGTGCCTGTGGCTGGAGGGCTGCCTGGAAACACAACATTATCACATATTAGGAGAGGGATAACCAAAGAGTTGATTGATTCACTCAGTAAAATGTAGTGAGCCGCTTTAGGCCTGGATGCTGATGAGTTTGTGGAGGAATGCGAACAGTAACGATGTTGGCAGATGTGAAAAGAGCAATAACGCAATGTGGCTGCAATTAAACATGGTGTACTCATGATTATTTGAAAGTTAATTATCTTTTTAACCGTTTTCATTCTGCCATGTCGAAATGTTCTTCAGCTGACAATCCTAAAGCAGAGCAAAGCATGATGTTTTGAAAAAAAAAGCCAAAAACACGAAATAAGATCCATCCCTGTTTTTCTACTCCGCTGACCTAATTCAACCCAAACAAAACAAAATGTTTGTTGTTTTACTGCCTGGGGAGAATGAATCACAGTGACTCGTGTTTTGGAAGAGAACATGGCTTCTGTATGTGATTACACCTCGGTGAAGGATGCTGGGTCAAAAAAGCAGCTAGGCTCTTCTCTATTACTGCTCTCTGTTTCACTGCGATTAGAGGTTATTAAAAATATCCACGCTGCTTCCAAGACAGCTCCAGAGGACAGTCAGCAATTAACACCCGAAGACAAGATCTGTAATTGGAAAATGGGTGTCCTCCACCTTTTGAAGGTAAAACAATATTTTGGGCAGAGGTTGGAAAAAAAACAATCAGGATATACTGTATGTGCCATAAATGTCAAGTGAAGTCTTTCCAGTGCCGTTAGATAAAGCTGCCCACACTAAAATACTGATTAGGTGAAAGTTAACTTCTTAGGACTATCCAAGGATTAAACTGAATACAAATTGTGCTTCATCATCTCTGAAACATCCTCGTAACCAGATCAAATGAAGCCTTCATATTCACTACTGAATAAAGCCAGTTTACATTGATAGCTGATTCACCACAAACATTTATTTTGGGAAACAATGTCTCCTCGATTCCACAATAAGACAGACAAAATATGCTAGGGATTCTGGCTTAAAGAGGCCCTATACTGCTATTTTTCAGGTACATTTTTGTATTTTTGGCCTTTAATGTGACATGTTCTAATGCTTTAATGTTCAAAAGAGGCTTTACTTTTCTCATACTGCCTGTGCTGCAGCACCTCTCTCCACCTTCTGTCTGAAACCAGAGCCCAGTCTGCTCTGATTGGTTAGCTGGTCAACTGCTTAGAGATGTCCCTCTCCCTTAGCATATCACAAAAAAAATGTTGCAGCCCCAGCCAAGAAGTGCGAGTGTAACGTAGTGATGTCATTATGTTATGAAAGTAAACAAAGGAGTCCAATGGAGGCGTATCAGGCAGTGTGTCAGAGAGAAACTCCCTCTGCAGTGAACTTTGGGATTTTAGCCTTTGCCGACCATTTACATGCACAACAACCATTTGAACACACTACAGGAAAGGGAAAAGCCCCAAAGGCATAATGGGGCCCCTTTAAATAACAACAGTTTCAGAAGCTATATCTAATTAACTAACCAACGTAGCTGAAGGTAACTTATTGGCATTGGTTTGAGAAGCCAGCCTGATGATTTATTCATGTTCCAGCTGACCTTTTTAAAACGAGAACCTTGTAAAACATGTCTCAAAGAAAGAATGAATGCTGATGTATGACATTTAGAAACCGACACTATCTTAGCCAACTTCAAACAGAACCACTTTTGACAGACTCAAGCACTGTTGTAAGGTTATTTGTATGTATTTCATTTAGATGCCATAAATACAAAGTGTGGGTGTAAAACATTCACTGCACTTATGCCACATAATGCAAGTCCTCTCTCTGTGTTTGTGCGGGGACTGCTTACCTTGTGAAATACCCATGGCTTTATCAAATAAATGTCAAACACACCTTGAAATAATTAACATGGAAAATGTCTCGTCTGCATGCAGAGGCTTTTTATTCCCAGAGAACCTCTTAAACATAAGCAACATGAAGTGTTGCCCAAGCTGTTATATCCTTCTAAAGGGAGGAAAGTATCCATAAGTGCTAAATATGTACTATTTGTGTGAAGGTACTGAATGTAATGTACTGTATGTCAAGTGAAGTGGAGAACATAAGGCACGAGTAGGTGCTGATACTCGAGGATAATGGCAGCAATCCAACTTAATCATACACACACACACACACACACACACACACACACACACACACACACACACACACACAAACACACACACACTAAGCTACTCTTCCCTCCTGCTTCTGCTTTCCTATACGCCCGCATGCATTGGGTCAATAACAAACCTGAAAAACTCTCACTGTGCCAGTTTTTTTAGTAGTATTCAATAAAAAAAAGAGATACAATACAAACGTTAACATTTTCTGCTTCAGTCTGCAGAGAGATCATACAGTATCTGTGTGTTTCTAAGTGTTCATCAAACAATCATCATGATCTGTTTGTTTGCTGCTCACTACTTTAATTTCATTCTCAGCTGCAAAGCCATCAGCAGATTATGATTGAAAGAGATAAGGGAGAAATCAAATGTAATGGCAGCGAGTTTGGCATTTTCTGCTGCGTGAAATGACTGCTATCTCGCTTGCTTTTTTGTCTGCAGTCAAGGAACAAAACAAAAACAGCAAACCGCTCAAGATAAGTATGCCTGTGACAATATCAGCGGTGAATCGAGAGCGGAGAGGAATTACTTTAGCGAGAGCGGACAGAAAATGTGTTGAAAAGCAAATCAAAGACGGTAGCTCTTCAGGCGAGACCTCAGATAATCTATTATCGCTCGAGAGCCAGAGAGTGAGGATGCGGCTCGGATCCCCCGTCAGTGAAAAGATGAACATTTCAACCCATTTGTAGTGGGAGAGGCCGTCTCTGTGCTTGGCTTGCTTTAAATGAAGCTGTTTGTCTTCCTAAATGAATCCTCCCCATACCTAATCACTTCTCTTCTCCTACTCCTTATCTCCATTGCATCATGGCTGTGTCATCACCAGCCTGCCACGGCATCAATGGAGCTTGTCTGCTGGCCTCTACTTCACACCGCTTTGTCACAAAAGTTCTGATTAAACACCCTGCAAGTTTCTAAAGGAGATGGGCAATTTATGGATCTTTGCCACTACAGCAGGACTGCTCTTCTCTGCATGTTGGGCACTAGAAAGTACATCAAAAGTAAAGTAGACGGCAATAATGACAGAAGGGACATGGGAGGATTTCCTGTGATATTTGCCGAGTGATGAAAACGTGTAAAACAAAACCTGTCCTCTCATTGTCTCGTTGGAGTTGTTCAGTGTCAAAAACGGATTCATCGGGCTGTCAAAATGTGGTGGCAGCATAGAGTTTCTGTCTAATTAACAAAGGCTTCAATCTCCATGTACAGTTCTTGCTAGAGAGCCCAGAGAACCCAGAGCACAGATTGGTCAAATCAATGTTAGAGATTTAAAGATTAAAAAGAGAACAAAAGCCGTAGCTCTCTGCCTCTTAGGAAATGTGTGTGTAATCCTCTAATGCCATGTTTGTGTGATATTATAGGCTCATCCTTCTACCTCGAGTAACTCTGACAACTCATGGTGATTGACTCAATTATTTTCTTGTTTTGACAATTGCTATGTTCAAAACGCAAATTGTCAGTCATAATGGCCATGTTGGTGGTTAATGCAATAACAGCTAGAGCTTATTTTGAGTGAATGTGGCAGTTTTGTATCACACTGTTCCAGATCTTAGTCCATATTTCCTTTCAAATTAAACAGTTAGATAAAGACTGAGCTGTATGTCTATGAACCTGAATATGATGCAGAATCTGTTTTGACAACACGACAATATTTTCTTATGAGAAGCTTTCTAGTTTACATTTGCAGCAAGCTTTGGTTGTATGCAGATAAAAAGTCTGTGTCGAGCAAATGAGCCACACCGGCTCAAATGCAATCTTGTAACAACGTATACGCCAATGGCAGCATTCTAATATACAATTATTTCCCACCAATACTTTTGTAAAGTTTAAGCAAGAAGTTGGAACCAAAAGCAGTAAAAGAGAGAGGCATGTATAACAAAAAGTGAACTTGAACTTAAATAAAGCTGATACAAGAACAGGCGGACATACAAGGTAAAACAAAAAAACGAAAATAAATAAAAGCAATCAGACAAGGCAGGCGGGAAAACACAACGACAGGAAGCAAAACAAGACAAGACACAAGGAGAAAAAGCCTTTCAAAATAAAAGAGGAAACACAAACTAAGATCATGACAATGTTTTCTGAAATGTGGTCTTAAACAAAGATTTTGACAAATTACAGATTGATGGTTTGTTGAGTTTAGGGAAGGCCAAGATTGTAAAATTAATCAATTTCACAAAAAAACCATAATGTCTCTCGAGAGGTGTAGTCAGGGAATCACCAAAGCAAGTAGGTATCATTACGGTACCATGAATTTCGGGACAGAATATTCTCGGCAATACATGCAATTGTTGCTGACAGACCGACAGGAAGACGTTGCCATCCTGGAGACGAGCTGCTAACATGGCTTAACATTTAAATTACCCTCCCTATTTCTAAGACAGTGTTGCAATAAAACAGGCTGACACATGTATTTTCACAAGCCATCCCTCAATGTCTTCATTACAGTCCATCTCCCCTCAGCAGAGGTTGACCTTGAGTATTACAATGTATTTAAAACTTAATCCCAATGTGCCTAAGTGAATACATTTTGGCAAAATCTGAAGTTAATCCTATTACCTTTAAAGGTCTCCTATTATACAATTTTTAGGCATATATTATAGATCTCAGATATATAACAAACATGACTATCGAGTGGTTTGCTCAAAATACCAAACAGAAAAGAAACAAAAAGAGAGGAGAGCTCATGCAGGAGAATTCTACCGGCAGATACTCAGCTAAACGCTGCCGTGATTAAACGCCATATTATGTTCCAAACCACATCAAGGATTATTTCTGAAACAGTATGGAGCTCAAATGCTTTCTCTCTTTCAGGGTTTACCACAAGTAGAGTACCTTTTTATATCCTGCTTCTTTACACATACTCTCTCCAGCA